ATATGGTTTCTTTCTAATTTGTTCAAAACCAAAGTTCCAGTCAATATATTATTACATATGTAACATTTGCACAATAAATAGCTGTTAATAATACAAGTACAAAATCACATTTACCTTTGTATGAACAGTGAATTTTACTTTATCTCTCTCACTAAGAGCATCAGAAATGTCCACCTGCAGAGCAGCATCACTTTGAAGATCTACGTTTATTGCTTTAAGCTAGAAAAAGATAATACCTTAATGAAAAATTCTGTGGGCTTATAGAGAATTTCATTCTTTTCTCAGACATTCAGATAATGCAAAAATGAAACAAAAATAACAAAAGAATCTTAAATCTAAAAGTTCATTTAAACCTCATATATATTTTGGGAGGCAGGTGCTTTGGGTATGTTATTATCTTCATTTTCATTCTACACATTTCAACTATGCTTTGTATGAGTCGATGTGCTAACCATGATTCATTATAATTTCACTCAAAAAGTGAACTATTTTTTCTCTCTCCTATTTCTCTGCCATCATGGTGTGTATGGTTGACTGTTCCTCACCATGGATGACAGCAGGGAAGTGTGGAAGGCTCCCTAACCCAGGAGCTTGGATGGCCTGGGTTTGAATCCCAACTCTGCACATTAATACTCTGATTTGGATCTTCTCACAAGACCCATCAAGTAATTTCTGGCCAAGAAACAAAAGCATAATTGTCCCATTCCCCAGTGGATTCAGATGAAAACCGGTATCAAAATCAGGTACAGCTTCAAGAGGCACTGGAAAAGAACCAAGCTGGTCTATAAGGAACAGCACATGGATGACACACATATTTATGCTGCATGGTCACATACTCATATCCTATCACTCTGTAACATCACTACAACCTGAGCAATAGACATGTTTTCCTGCCGAGCAGGAAGTCCGATGCGGGACTCGATCCAGGATCATGACCTGAGCCGAAGGCAGTCGCTTAACCAACTGAGCCACCCAGGCGCCCTACTTATAATTTTTTTTTATTTTAAAATAAACTCTAGGGCGCCTGGGTGGCTCAGTCGTTAAGCATCTGCCTTCGGCTCAGGTCGTGATCCCAGGGTCCTGGGATCGAGCCCCGCATCAGGCTCCCTGCTCGGCGGGAAGCCTGCTTCTCCCTCTGCCACTCCCCCTGCTTGTGTTCCCTCTCTCGCTGTGTCTCTCTCTTCAAATAAATAAATAAAATCTTTAAAAAAATAAAAAATAAATAAAAAAATAAACTCTACACCTAATGTGGGGCTCAAACTCACAACCCTGAGATTGAGTCACATGCTCCACCGACTGAGCCAGCCAGATGCCCCTCTACTTTATGCTTACCATTAATTCTATTTATAATTCTTAAATTTCATCAATTTTTCTTCCCTTTAAACAAATATACATTCTAAAATGTTTGACTAATTTGGAGACTTATTAAAAAAATCAAATACACTATAAGATGAAAATAAAGTCTTAGCCAGCTGCAAAGATATGAAATAGTTAAAGCCTAATTAACTACCTAGCTTACTTCAAATACTGTAGTTGTAAAACCCAGGACTTATTTTGGGAATCTCACATAGTCATTAGCATTTCATTTTTTTTTAAAGATTTATTTATTTGTCAGAGAGAGTGGGTGCGTGAGCGAGCATGAACAGGGGGAGTTGCAGGCAGAGGGAGAAGCAGGCTCCCCGCCGAGCAAGGAGCTCAACGCAGGACTTGATCCCAGGACCCTGGGATCATGACCCCAGCCAAAGGCAGATGCTTAACCAACTGAGCCACCCTGGTGTCCTGTCATTAGCATTTCAAATTTTAATTACAATGTAAATGGAAAAAATGCTGGAAGCAAATTGTTTATACTCTCCAATCTGTCATATATTTAAAAATGCATATATGGGGACGCCTGGGTAGGGCAGTTGGTAATCATCTGACTCTTGATTTCAGTTCAGGTCATGATCTCAGGGAGGTGAGATCAAGCCCCACTACTCGCTCTGTGTAGAGGATTCTCTCTCCCCCTCTCCCTCTGCCCCTTCTCCTGCTCGCACACGTGCATGCACTCTAATAAACCTTTTTTTTTTTTAAGATTTTATTTATTTATTTGTCAGAGAGAGTGAGCACAAGCAGGGGGAGTGGCAGGCAGAGGGAGAAACAGGCTCCCTGCTGAGCAAGGAGCCAGACTTGGGGCTCGATCCCAGGACCCTGAGATCATGACCTGAACTGAAGGCAGACACTTGAACCAACTGAGCCATCCAGGGACCCCTCGGGTGCTTGTTAAAAATACAGAACCCCAGGCCCTACCACAGACTTATAACAATCTTGAGAGACTCTTAACTATAGAAAACAAACTGAGGGTTGCTAGAGGGGAGGTGGGTGGGGGGATGGAGTAACTGGGTAATGGGCATTAAGGAGGGCAAGTGATATAATGATGTAATGAGCACTGGATGCTATACGCAACTGATGAATAACTGAACTCTACCTCTGAAACTAATGATATACTGTATGTTAACTGAATTCAAATAAAATAAAATTTTTAAAAATCTTCAGGGAAAAAGCCTTAAAAACTGTGTTTGGGAACCCTAGCCTAGATTTTCAGGGTTGCTTTGTCTTTATATTCTGTCAAAACTTCATCTCAATTGTTAATATTTTTTTATTTTTTAAAAATATTTTATTTATTTGACAGAGAGAGACACAGCGAGAGAGGGAACACAAGCAGGGGCAGAGAGAGAGGGACAAGCAGGCTCCCCTCTGAACAGAGAGCCCGACGCGGGGCTCGATCCCAGGACCCTGGGATCATGACCTGAGCTGAAGGCAGCCGCTTAACCGACTGAGCCACCCAGGCGCCCCTAAAATTGTAACTTTTATTAATAACAAACATTCTTATATATTTACTGCTTTTGTTCTTGGATTCTTTTTAGGTATACCTTACGTACAATGAAATGCAGATTTTAAGTATATAGTTTGAAGACTTTTGAAAAATACACAGATTATATCCCTGTGATCATAACCACAATCATCTGCAGGAGTTCCTCCTTTACTTTTACATTTCTACTTCTTTATTTTCCACCTCTTCTGTAAATTCTCTTTTGTATGCCTTATTAAAGCTTGTAGCCACTCACATATTGCCTTAATGGCCACAATCCAATCTATCATTTGTCTTCTTCATTCTTTTAGAAACTGTTCTAGAATTGATCTCAGGAAAAGCGCATGAATCATAAATATGGTCACAGCAAAATGCTGGTGGTAAGATTGTGACTCCTTTATATTTCATAGTAAATTCAAAATATCAGCTGAAGTGTTCATCCCGATATTGCATCTTTCTACAGTCAGTTCTGGTATACACCTCACACCTCAATTTTTTTTTTTCCATTTCCTGAGTTTACAGAGAAAAGGAGACATAAAGAAATTATTTTGTTTGGCAGTAAGATTTGCTTCACACACATTAGGGTTTTTTTTTAAGTCCTGTTTCTAATAACTAAGATGTATAATGGAAAAGCCAGCCAATAAAATGAAATCATCCCCCACACAAATATAAAATTTCCACTGAAAGCTAATCTGCTCTATTTCATCAATTCTAGATGCATATTTTGCATATTTTAACATTTGAAATAGGAATGCCTTGCAACTGATGACAAATTTTAGTTTAACTGAAAATGTTTTTTCTTTCTTGGTGGTACATAAAAGAAAGTATACCTTCCAAACAATTGTGCCTTCGATTTGATAAAGTATCATATTGTAAATTTAATGTTAATTACATAAAATGTACACAAGATTTTTCAGGCATATTTTCTTCTTTCTTTAAAGTTAATAATGTTAGAGAGTTTTTATTAAGGGAAAATGAAAGCAAACAACTTGTGATTCATCAACATTTAATTGAAACTAGTGAGGTCAGAGTGAAGAAATTCTCATTAGATGACATTCACTGGTTTAATCCTTATCTGGGCTGATAAACTTTGTATTCTTTTGTCAGAGACTGACTAGGTTAAACATTTGCGTCAAGGTCAAGAGAAAGACTTGGCAGGGAAAATGGATTAAGCAACATAAATACGTAACATTAGAAAGATAATTTAGGGGTGCCTAGGTGGCTCAGTTGGTTCAGTGTCTGACTTTAGCTCAGGTCATGATCCCAGGGTCCTGGGATTGAGTGTGAGCCGCTGAGTGGGGAGTCTGCTTGTCCCTCTGCACTCCCCTCCCCTTGTGCTCTCTGTCTCTCTCAAGTAAATAAAATCTAAAAAAAAAAAAAAAAAGATAATTTAAAGATGCTGCCTTATTGCTGATTAATTTTCCACATATAATTACTTAGTAAAGAAGACATTCACTACTAATTTACTATACTGACTCATTTACTATAATGTATCTACCCTAGAACATTCCTAAAAAATTAGTTGTTCATCTTTGCCAGAAAAGCGAATGTACAGAGATAAGTGGATGGATGGAGGAAGAAAAGGAAAATGACTCTACTGCAATAGCCTCCCAACTGGTGTCGTTTCTACCCTTTACCCTCTTCAATCTACTCCTTACAGAGCTACCAGAAGATCCCATTAAACTAAAAATCATTCCTCTGCTCAAAACCTAAGGGGTCCCCGCTTAGAGAAAAGCCAAAGTCCTTACAGGGGTCTCCTAGGCCCTATAAAATCTGTATCTGACATCATCTCTCAGGCTAATCTACTATTCCTCTGGCTCACTGTAAACATGCAGATGGCCTCCTTGTTGTTCCTTAAACGCTGGGGCATGCTGCCACCTCAGGAGTCTTTGCACTTACTGTTCCCCCTACCTGGAATATTCTGCCCCCAGATATGTATCTGCATGACTCACTCCTTCATTTCCTTCAAGTATTTACCAAAATGTCACCTTCTCAGGAAGGCCTTAGGCAACCCTAAGACTACTATAGCTCAACTTCTCTCCACTCCCAAACAATCCTCATCCCTCCCCCTCATTTTTTTCATATCACTTATTTACCATCTACTATATTTTTTTAATAGTCCTCCCTAACTAGAATGTCAGTTTTTTGAGGACATAGATTTCTGTTTTGTTCATTGCTATATTCCCAGTGGCGGACTTCAATAAATAACGTGTTGAATGGAAAGGAGAGAAGCGTAGAAAGAAAGGTGGTAATCATAACTGGGCTAAGAAACTGTAATTACAGTACAGTCAATGGAAAACCTCTGAGACAGACAGAAGTAAATTCCATTAGGCTCACTAATTCAGGCCAAATTTTAAATGTTTAACTCCTA